TGTGTGTGTGTGTGTGTGTGTGTGTGTGTGTGTGTGTGTGTTTCTTGGCCCCCCCTCTCCATATAGCAATATCTTTTCCTCGTTGGCATTATCTTCTCCTCATCGGCATTATCTTTTTCTCGTCGGCATTGTTAATCTTGATTCAATTTAATAAAATGTGGGCAGAGAGAAGGGGGGGGGCCGGGGAACGAAGAAAAGAAGCAGAACAGCACACACAAAGCGCCTCGACTCGCAAATGAACTCTAAATCGACACGTGGCACGCACGTGACAAGGGAAGGGACCAGCAACAGGTTGAATACACGAAGCGAAAGTTAACACCGATATAATTATTTTATTTTATTTTATTCTAATTAGAACAAGTATCTTGAAAAAAGGGAAATGCAACACCGATCTTTTTGCGGTGGAATTCCATGTTCCATGACAACCGTTACGCACCCCCAGCTGCTGTGAGGACAGTCCTGGACAACCGCCCTGAACACGCGATGGACGCTGATGTGATAATAACTGCGTCCGCCATCGCCGATTTCTCCTTCCCTCCTCTCCCACTACCGGTTCTCTGTCTCTTCTCCTTCCTTCTTCGACGTCCGTCCGTTCCTTGCCGCTATCTGATTTCCAGAGCAGCACGGACTGCTTGGCTGAGACCGCAATCGCCCTTTCCAGACCGTTTGGTTGGATATTGGCATGAGTTTTTTGAAAAACAGTTTCCCCGTCAATTCGGTATTCACCCCATTTCTTTTTTCGTTTTGGGATAAGTTGCAAAATACCCCTATAAGTTGAGATATATGCCAAAATACCCCTAAAAGATGTGGGTCGAGCGGAATGCCCTTTTGGGCCTTATTCTTTCGTGTTTTGCCCCTGTCAGGCCCACGTGCAAATTTGCAAATCTGGACGTTGTCGTTGGGGCCTGGGGCTGCCCCCTGTTTTGCCCCTGTTTGCACTCCATACAGGGTGGGCAACTTTGCGCACTACCCAGGCCCATAGGAGAGGCACTTCGCCTCCTCCAATAAGCTCAGCTCGTTCAAAAAATATCAGCCGCTGCCTCATGCTTTGTGTGGCAGCTTCATCTCCACTGCTCCCCCCTGATAAGTTTCCCCATAGCCAACTCCTCAACCTCCGTTCCTTCAAGTTCTCCTCCTTGGCCACGTGACCATCTCCAAGCTCCTCCTGCCAGCCACTCCTTCCGAGTCTCCTCCCTTGCAGGTTGATGCACTTTTGGTGTTTGGTAAAAAGGAAAAGGTGGTGACGTGGCAGAAAACAAAGGCTGCCAGGTCACCATCCTTACCTCCTTTTCTCCCTCACTGCATTCTATTCCCCAATGACTCCTTTGTTTCCTCCTCCATCCTCTCCTTCTTTCTGCATCTGTAGTTCCTTGCGTCCATACACTCCTCTTCCTCGTCTAACCTCATTGCTGACTGTGGCACCATCCCTACCCTTTGCCGGCACCAGACTTTGCTTCCACATCTCAATCAGGCAGAAACCTTCTTTGTCTGGTTTATTATTTTCCCTTACATTCCAGAGAGCGAGAGAGCAATCTTCCCCTCCTCCACGCTGGGCCCAGTTCCCAGCACGTGTGGCAAAAAAAAAAAAAAAAAAACTCCCCCCCCACCCCCTTCTTTTTCTGAGTTGCTATAGTTTTAATCAGTAACTTGGGTTGTGTCTGTGACGCCCAACCTCACGCCCAGCGCGACTTCCTGATCGGAGTGGGATGGGGGCCTGGAAGTGCGAAAAGGGGATGTGCCAAGGATTTTAGGAAAGTGGGGGTGGAGTTCCAGGTCAGAACTGAGATCTCCTGTGGCAAGGTTTAGGGGCAGTTGTGCAAGATGGTAGCCACAAGGCGTGTCTGGCTTTTACGTCGTGCAAAAATGGAGTTGCCATCTTCGCTGGCTTCGTCGCCGGGGGCGGATTCGAATTTGGTGGACCGGCGGGATGCTATGGCTGTAGCGCTGTCTGAACAGTTGCTGGCGTCGCTCGTAGCAAGCCTCGGAATCCGACGAGGCTGGCCTCAGTATCTTGGGTAGTGTCTATCATGTGTGTGTGTGTGTGAATCTGGGATAGTGTCTCGTGTATGGGTGGTGTCTATCATGTGTGTGATGTAACATGTGGTAGAGACAGACCTATCTGGACAAGACCCCTCCCAAAGTCCAGGACTGGACTCGAACCTGTGACCTATTCGTGGGGAGCATCACGTGCTGGGAACCGGGCCCATCGTCCGTTATAATGGAAATACATTAACGATTGACAATTGATGAAAAATTAGGATGATTGAGGATCATTTTGGATGATTTAGGATGTCAGAGTGGGTGATTGAGGTCATGAAATAGAGCTAGATGATGACTAATCAGAAAGATTGTATACTCAGCACTGAAATACTATCCTATCCCTAATTTCCTGTATCCATTCCTAACAACCAATCACAATTGAGCCCGTGTTGTGCACCAATCAGGCCTCTTCTCGGTCTCACACCCCAATCTAGCTCGGTTACAGGGCAGCGCTACCCACCCCAGCTCCGACCATCGTTGGCCAGATTGTAGCCATTAGTCAAGTTTGCAGATTRCCTTCCTCCCTCGRCAATTCCAAACCTCTATACAAAGCCTCAAGCTCCTACACAAGCAGGTTACAGGGCACTGCCCCAGCGTCGGCTAGCGTCGTTCTGGCGCCAACTCAACCTGACCATTACACAAGAGGACTCAATTAGGAAATTAGCTAATCTAGAATGCCAACCACAAATCAAGGATCTGATAATATCCGAATCTTGATCAGCAAGACTTTCTGATGATGAAATTTGACGAGTACCCTAAGATGATCACAAAGATGATGGATAATGATGACGACGCTGATGATTATTTCTCTCCACCCCTCCCCTTCTTCCATGTATTCTCCTCCTCTCCCCTCATTTCCTCTTCTCCTCTCGCTGCCTCCGCTGAGCCGAACCCCGCTATCAGCATGAAGTTCCTATCAGCCCCAACGAGAGAGAGAACCTCCCCATTCCCTTCTACCTTGACGTAACCAGTTCCCCCAAAAGGTGTACCTCAAAACTAACACTCTGACCTAGTCTGCCTCCGCCAGGAGATAATGCGCCCCCATACATACCTCCCAGCCCCAGCCCAGGTCAACTCCCATCATCTGCATCTACTCCCCGGAGGGCAATCACCTCCCACCTTGTGTTACCCCTGCGGAGTAGCGCTCCCTTCCTGACCAACCTACCTACCAAATAGACCATAGCCTATCTGGGAGATGAGAATATAATCACAAACACAGAGATGACTACTGATTGATGAAAAAAAGAATAACGAAACCGTGATGATGATGATGATGATGATGATGATGATGATGATGATGATGATGATGATGATTGATGATGATGATGATGATGATGATGATGATGATGATGATGATGATGATGACGATGATGATGATGATGATTCAGATTGGTAGATGATGATGATGATGATGATGATGATGATGATGATGATGATGAAATAAAATTGGCGAAAATAAATAAAGAAGGTTGGACTTGCGATACCCTAATGACATCGGTGTGGAAGATTGACAACTCACTATTCTGTAATGAAAATAGAAGATGATGATGATTACGATTTTTACAGAGAAGTCTGGATGATGACCATGAAGAAGATAAAAATAAGATAAATAACATGGATGACGAATTAGAGAAGTCGATGATGATTACCACTGGTAACCAAATGAGGATTACAAAAATGACGGTGTCCTTGATGAAAACCCCCCGCTGAAATCACAATGATGAAAATCTTGATGCTCTTGATGGATAACCTGCACAAGACAAAAAACAGACGAAAGCACATATATAGGTTGATGGTGACCTTGTAGCCGCTCTCTTGATGATACTCTCCCAGTGGCACTGTGATGATTCTTTACGTAGGACCAACGTTCTCCGCACTTTGGTCTCCACGGGGCTGACTCCTCTTCCCTCCACCGACATCGACTTTCGTCAACTCGCATGAGCTCTCCAGCCTCTTTAATTGTCTTTGGCTATGGAGTACTTCATGTGAAAAACACAGGGAAAATGTTCAAACAGCAGCTGCCGCTACCATTCTCCCTTTTCCTCTGTGCCTCAGGCCAGATGCCACGTCAGCCTGTGACGTAGTAATGACCCAGCGCCTCTGGATATCGCGCGTGCGTTAAGCGCTAACTCCCATCTACTTCACAACATCACAACACTCTCGCACCAGCTGTGACCTAGAGTATGAGATTGGAGGGTTCTACCACATGCACTACCGTAGGAAGTGAATAGAATGTGTGAAATATGTAGGCTGGGGGAGATCACCAGAGCGACCAAAGCCAACAACAGCAAGCAACCAATGTGAACTCTAGACCAGCATACAACACCCATCGACTAGCCCCCTGGGTGGTGCGCAGGCAGTGCCTGTAATAGTACCATGCGTCAGCCCAGGGGAGTGTGTGTCCAGCTGTACGTCATTCTAACGCCCTGCCGGTGTCCATGACTCTAACTACTGAGCTACATCAACTGGACATACAGACCCACTACCTACACATGGCTCACACAGGCACTAGTAGAGGTGGTAGGAGCGCCTCTCACTGGTATTCTCTTCGTAGATGCTCCGTGGTGGGGAGCAGCGTCAGCTACGGGTCCATGCACATTACAAACATACACATAGCCTACAGGCACATACCTACAATACCGAACACACACACATACTTAACCATAGGGCTGGGAGGAGGTCACGACCAACTAATAATAGGCGTCTCGATGATAAGAGAGGGCGTGAGTTACTAGTCGGTCTACTTAGGGGCTAATAGGTGATTGCTTGAGSCTGGCGTCCGAAGTTCCCGTACGACGAGGCTCGTTCGACTACGCTTCCACCAAGGCTGGTCACTAGCCCTGGTGTCTGTCACTACTGTTCGGTCCGAGTTTCCCTCGATGGTACGGTAATGGTCCTGAGTGCTGGTCACACTGAGGTAGGATAGTAGGAATAGGGGGTGCGCTAGGAGTATTGACGTGAGGATAACTGACATTTCGTTAAAACTGACATTTTTTTCTAAATTCACGAAAGTGGACTTAGGGTGAGAAAGTGGTTATCTAACTTTGTCCATCTGATGTAACTCAACGCAAAATACCGTTAACATACATCCGATGATCAGATCATTGGGAGTTGCTACGACACCCGATGATCTGATCATCCGACGTCATGGGGACAAAAAAACACTAAAAAATATTGTTTTTTGGTACGCTCAATTTTGTGAATTTAGAAAAAAATGCCAGTTTTAACGAAATGTCA